TAAATACCCTAAATATATCATGCGGATCGTTACGATCTAAATTCTGTATAATCAATGAAAATGCGCGTGCACAATTTCTACCTGAAACAGTTTCTCGCAAAAACCACGCAGCCAATCAATAAAATTTATTGTACGTTTTTTATCTTTTCGTCTGAAATATCTTTTTATCGATTATATTATGTTCTATATGTTTTTGCATAATGTAATTTATATAAATATCTAGCACATAATATATCTAGCACTTTGTAGTAAAAAATTTAACAAAGTATAGAGGTCAGTTTTCTGTGAGACTGAATTAATACCTATACACTTTTGAAACATGATATAGGTATATTTAACGAAAGCGAGAAAGAATTCTAATGCAGTCTAGTGCAGGAATAAAAAATAGATCTATAATAAAATGTTACGTACCTGAATCGCAGGTTTTTCTTGCGGCATGTCTTAACGGTGCCTTCACGTCTATTTCTGCAGGATCGGTAGATTCATGTCGCCTAGGCGTCCTAGACAAAGGCTCCAATTGAATATTCTCACTGCTATCCTTTCCTGGACTTCCTTTCGGCATTTTATTTTTACTTTTCTATTTTCTCGTCTACTCCGACCGATCTTTTATTCGGCAAAATCGGAGTTTCGCGCGGAAGAAACTTTTTTCTTTGTTTCTGAAGCGCTTTGTTTGTCAAATGACATACTTCGAGTTTGTTGCTGATTGACGTTTTGCTAATTATCGCTACTTTATATCGCTACTTTATACTCGAAAAATAAATGTCGGAGTCACAGATCTTCTGCCATCTTCAAATATTCTCACGATATCTCACGATGGTATCGATCGCCCTTTTCCTATATTGGACGTAATGTTCATGTCAAAAATTATATCGAGTTATTCTTTTGATAGTCTCAGTTAAATTTACACATCGGCACAGTACATCTGTACATGTACAAATATTTTATGTCGACAGCATTCGCATTGGTCCCGATATAACGATATGTTGCGCATAAACATTCAGTTTTATTTGAAAAAGATATTGTATAAAAATGATCGACAAATGTGATCCGTGATCAAACCGTTTTCTTCAAGGTAGTGCACATCAATTAATAAAAAATTAATAACATTTTATTACTTTCTTCGTATATAATCTCATGTTGAACTCAAAGTAGAAAGATATAGATACTTTGATATAGAAAGATATAGATACTTTGACGTCGCTGCTCGAAGATTTTATCTTTTTTCTATAAATTGAACATATGTTTCTTTGTGCGAGGCTGAATAATTACAAATTAAAGAAGTTCATGATAACTTTTATAAATTATAGACAGCAGTTAATCAGTCTTCTATTTTGTATTCTCCATGTCGTTGATTAACTTTAAATACGATATGTTTTTCTTTGTCAAAAGTTACTGGACGTTCAATCAACTTACATCTGCAATATTATTAAGAATTATCTATTATAATTTTTTTATTCAAGTATACTAAGGTTGTGGTTTAAAAGAGATATTAATAGAGGTAGTAAGAGTTATTCTCGTCAAGCTTTACTGTTGGATCAATACTTTCAGAATGGAGATCTATTCATAATAAAAAAGCCAGAAGTAATAGGAAAAATATTTACAATAAAATATTTTATAAAATGTTTTTTTATAATTTTAAATTTTATTATTATTTTTCTATATAACATATATAACATGTTTTTGTAAGTACCTCGCTGTAATTTTTAATTTTTTATTATGTTATTGCAAAACAATTTGTTCATTTTTATTGACTATGTTTTTCCTTGCATAAATATCGCTTCCATAATTCGCAGCATTAATATTTATATGAAATATTTACACGCTTACCATTTAATCGCATAATGAGTAAAAACATAGAACATAATTAGCGCGATATGTATGCAAACAATGAAATTATGAGAACAAGTATCTGAAATTGTCAATTGTTATCATAGAACGTACGGAACTATATCACTGTTCAAGGTCTACATAAAAGCAATTTTACGATCCGACTTATAGCGATCATTATGAACGATATTTGCGCACGCAATGATAATAGCTTTCATCCGCTATTATCATTGTTCGTGCGGCATTTTGATAAGAAATTTTATTATTAAAAATGTTAATTATTATAAAAAAAAATACATTTAAAGAAACATTATTTCTTTAATGATATTTTTCTATTTCTTTCACACACACACACATATATATATATATATATATACATATAGAAA